AACAAGTGATTGCAAAGACCATGGCCTGTATCAGATGCACCTTAGTCTCCAGAGAGACACCGTTGCTCTTCAGTACTTTAGAGAGGTCCCTAACAGCAGACTTTCCTATCGCAATACGTTTTTTGATTTCTTGGCTACTGGTGCCAAGAGTGTTGACTGTGGAGCAAAGCAAACTAAAGCTGTGAACAATCTCAATCTCTGCACCATCCACCCTGGTGCTGCAATTGGTCCAGTGGTGAGAATCTTTGTCTTCTTGACATTGAGCCTCAATCCATACTGAAGGCTGCAGTTCTTGACCCTCTACAGCAAGCGTTTCAGGTCCTCAGTTTCAGCAAGCAGGTTTGTGTCATCTGCATAACGCAGATTGTTAATAGATCTCCCACCAATCCTGACACCACATTCCTCCTCATAGAGCCCAGCCTCTTGGATAATCTGTTCTGCGCACAGGTTAAAAGGTATAGAGATAGGACACATCCCTGGCGTACACCCTTCCCAATTTTGAACCATGCAGCGTTCCCTTGCTCTGTTCTGACTGCCTCCTGGTCCAAGTATAGGTTTCACATTAGCATGATCAAGTGTTCTGGGATTCCCATTCTTCTCAGAGTCAGCCACAGTTTGTTGTGGTCCACACAGTCAAACACCTTTGCATAATCAATGAAGCACAGATAGACATTCCTCTGGTACTCCCTGCTTTCAGCCAAGATCCATCTAACATCAGCTACAATATTCCTAGTACCACGACCCCTTCTAAACCCAGCCTGGACTTCTGGCAGTTCTCTGCTGATGTACTGTTCTAGTCATTTTTGGATAATCTGCAGTAGAATCTTGCTTGCATGTGAGATCAACGATATTGTTCTGTAGTTTCCACACGTTGTTGGGTCACCTTTCTTTGTAATGGGAACAAATATAGATCTCTTCCAGTCAGTTGGCCAAGTGGTTGTTCTCCAGATTTCTTGACACTTCCTAAACCACATGCCTCTGGAAACTCTATGAACTTGGAAAAATGATAATAATTATAGAAAGGCTTCAGGCCTTTTGTACATAGGGTTGCTATGAGTCGTGCTCGACTCTATGACAATAAACAACAAACAAGCGTCTCCTCGATTCAAGGCCTAGGCCACGCAAGTCCTCCACAGGAGCAGCAGTTTACTGGTCTCCTTCCTTGGATGGTGGGCACCCCGGCCCATGGAACTCACGGAGCAGCTGGGCTGTTCCTAGGCACTTGCTCACTGCTGGTAGCCCACACAGATATGTCTGACTTCGTCTCCAACCCTTCCTTTGCCTTGGTTTCTTGGTAACCTTTAGGTCTGTAAGAAGTGTGACATCTGCGATGCCGGTGAAGCATCAACTCTGTAAAGTAGCCTCCTCATCAGCAAGCATTTAGAAATCCCAGTAGTGTGGAACAGCTCACGCCCTTGGCCAACTCACTCAGAACTTGAATTTGCTCTTCCTTTTTGGTTTTCTGACTCCAGCTCTTTTTTTTTCTTCTATATTTTATTAATTTTCATAAACATTTACAGAGATTTTGGGTTTCCATTCATTCATTGTTGCACTATTCTCTCTACCCT